CACTTAATGCTTTCTTTTTCTATTTATTTGGAAATTTCGGAATGGTTTAGCTTCGATTTTTTATTCAGATTTCCATCATTTGTGACAAAAGCCTGTGGTACAAATAGACAGCATATACTTCAGGCTGGGAATATCTCATCTCTCCACAACAGAAGAGCTAAGACCAATGTCTGCGTTTGGCGTAAACTTCCTTATCGAGTTTCACAGGCATAATATTAACAACTGAAGCTACACAATCGTAAATCATCCGATACAATTTCATTTTTGAGATCCTCTTGTCGTACCGGGTATATGCATCAGCGATGATATTACACAGGTACTCTGCCATATAAGACTACGTTTGATACGTTTTCCTTGTTATGAACTTGTCCCAGATTTGTTATTAAAGGCAGAAACCAGTAGACGTGATCTACTGCTAGAGCTAAATGCAGTCACTCAACCTCAAATGATCTGATGCTAGTGCGAACTGCAGAACGCCAGACACGTTACTCAAAAGAAGGGCTAATATAGTGTTTTTTACCTCCCCCTTCCAATATTAATACATGTATCCAACTCTACTGACAGTCTTTTAATATATGTATATATTATATATAAACTTCATTGCCATGAGCCACGAATACTGTTAATGCACCTAATTATTTGTGTTTTTCTAACTGACACAATGCATAATTTTTTAATCTAATTTTATCAGTTAAAAATCAACCTCTATTTACAGGAAATTTTGACACGTAACAATTTGCATGTACAAATTCTCTCGTTTCAACTAACTGATGGACAAGGCTGAAACTGAACCATCAGCAGTAGCGCCTTTTCGGTTTTATCATTTCCTTGGAGCAAATATACGCAATATTAAATTTTATACTGCCTCTTGAATGCTTCGACAGGATATTCTGTATACGGTTTTTTTGGGCACATCCGTAATCGCAGGCTGTGTTGTGAGGAGGGCCAGAGGGGACATAAAACGCTTCGTATGCATGGCCCTAGGACTAGCGTCGGCATTAGTGATATGCGGTTCTGAAGTCTGGCACGCACTTGTGTTGATGGGAGGTTTTGTGATATTTTATTCACTTGTCAGCTTTAGGTAAGCGAGTAGTTGACTCACTTTCAGATTCATTCATTATGCAGTATTTCTGTGGGGATTTTCGTACCTTGTATTTTTTCATACTGCTCAGTTCTATGGTTTTAGTAAACCATCCCCACTGACAAAGATGTTTCACCTTTTTATGACCTTAAGGGTAGGTTAATTTATTAATAACTTCTTTAGGTTGTTGGAGTGGCATTCGAATTGCACGATACTTGGACCACAGTTAACGCACTTAAATCAAATAAAAGAAACAGTCATTCTCCCCATGGGATGTCCGACCTAGAGCTCAAATATAAAGGGATAATGACAACCCCATATGATATTGTCAGTTACGTATTTTGCTACATAGGAATGCTTACAGGTAATCATATATCGTACAGCGTTTCAAAGTATCAATTTGTCTCCTCAATAGGCTATAGAAATTTTTTCGCTTTCGACCTTACGACTTGATGCCATTGTGTAATATTGTGGTACATTAAATGTATTAGGAAAGCTATATCTTCGGTGCGTAAAATCTTCTGCTTTACTTTTACACTCTACCTAAGGGTCTACTTTCCTAAGGTCCCTACTACACTTATCGGACATACAATGATATGCTAAATGGATGGCCACCAAAGGCTCCCGGACTCTCCTTTGGTCCGCTTTGGCGAAGACTTCAAGAAGCTCCTTTCTTTGGTGTTGCCTATTTGATTTCCTCCCAGTTTGTTTCTTTTGATGTAAGTGTTGCAATACGCAAATCGACAGTCGAACATAATTGTCTACCGAAAAGTCTTGCTTACAGAATTGAGTATAGACTAGCCAGTTAAAGGCTCGGTTAAATGATATCTGACTAAATATTTGATAGTAAATGTTGGAATCCTCAACTTACATTAACTAAATTACAATAGCCGTATATCATCAATAATATTTTTATTGATGATTGGCATTTAAATAAGTAGTGTCACAAACCCAAAAAAAACCTGTTTATTGTGGTTGATGATGCTTAACCAACAGCTACATTCCAAGACAAGAGGTGTATACACGCGTAGTGCAAGTAAAATTCTCTGCCTCATAATGCATTTGCCGTGCTTTATTCAAACTGTACATAAATGTGTCAAAAGGTATACCAAACTCTGCGGTCTCACAGCGTAAAGGTTTTTTACTTTAATGATCTGGATGTTAAAAACAGACTCTAGCTATTAAGTGATTTGCTTTTGATACCATAATGGAGAAGCAATATATTAACTTCTTGATTGCCACCGTCCTGATTGAGCGAATATTTGGGCATAAGCTAAATAACATATCGTTGGAACCACGTTTGAAATGCTTGAAAATTGATAAACAAAGTGTAATTACCTTAATTCAGTGCATCACAGTAATTCGACAGCCATAACACGGTTTGTCTATCCCGTCGGACATTAAGAGCAGATTGGAGAGTTTGGAGTTAATGCCAAACTGCCTTTGTGTACAGCTTTATGAATTTGATATGATGATTGATAGGCGTTCATTTACTTGCACTATCGCAAAGGGCGCCGTTTTGAGAGCACGCAAATCCTATGCGGTGTAAAGGAATCTTCGCCACCTACTACTACTCTCCCAAGCTGGCATTCTGGGCTAGGCTAAATGCAATGTTCTGGAGTTAATTAAAATCAACTTTAATTTGATCCTATTTTGTTTGGAACATTTAGTTAATTCAATGCACTCTTTGTTTTTAATATGTACTTTTGAATGTCAGTTTAATAAAAACGTTTAGCAGTGTTGGAGCAGCGGATGTATGATTTGTGAAAAGAAGCAGATGCAACCAGAAAAAAGTAATTAGACAGAACTATGAATGGAGTGGCTTTATAAAAAAGCACATCTGCAATGAGTCTAAAATATGACATTGGTAGTGCATAATGAACCAAATGAAAAGATTTCGAATTAAGTCTGGTAAACCGCTGCGAGGAGAACAATCGGTCAAATTGAGAACAGTGGAGCTTCCGCAATGTCACTTCCTGTTAAGGCAAGTCATGTGAGTTGGGGATGCGATGCCTAACGCCATCACTTCACTCATGGTCCTTAACAAGCACATCATATATACCTTTGATAATAAGGCATCTAATGCTTTAAGTGGCCAATTAACAGGACCTACGGGATCCCGAGTTTCAGAATGGAAGTCTGGTCAACATTCTGGTGTATTTAAGCGTTCTCTTCTTCGTCTACCGCACGCGACTCTACTTCGCCTGGATCATGGGCGAATGTGTCTGCATGAGCGTGGGCCTTGGCGCTTATCCAGCCATTTCTCGTCCCGCTGTTGGCGAGGGACCAACCGATCTCGTGGCTCTCAACAGGTTGGTACTCCACTCTGTTGTTGCCCTTTTACCTCAATTACTTGCTACAATTCTCCTAAGATTAGGATAAAATTTTCTACCAAAGTGCGGGAATTTTTAGCCGCTAATATTAAAACAGGGTGATAATCGGGTCGTGGGAGATTAAGCCGCTCTTCTTCTGGTAATAAAAATAGAACAAAATGTGAATCAAGTGATACAATAGAGTTAATATCTTGCCAAGCAATTTTTTCCAATTAAAACTCATTCAAAATAATTTGGAAATTCTACACTCAGACTCTTTAATTAAACCAAATGACGACTTCAAATTGTTCTCCTTTGTGTGATGCTGTATATGCATTAGCAAAACAACGCGGTTACCACGTCTCAACGCAGCCTTTGGACTGACTAAAACAAACGCATCTGTGAACAGAATGACCAAAATGGGGGCAAAAGAAAATTGCCTTAACCCTAGGTAAACCATAGATATAGCGGGTGCTGACATTCATCTGTGCTGATTAAGATGATCTACTTTATTACAAGCAATAAAGACGTGGCAGATTGATGTGGGGTTCAGATTATCCTGGTAAAAGTTTCAGAGCAAATGCGAGAATTTCAAGCTAAACGTCAAAACTCCGGAACTCCTGTTCCCTTTCTACCTCGAAAGTGGAGTTATTTGCTTTCCATCCGTCCTGCACCCAAGGTTAGAAATTATGTAGTATGATGCACTCGGAACTTTTTTACCCTGACAAGCCTGGTTCAAAGCTGTCTTCGCTGTAGCGCCTACGGTTCAAAGAACTGTCTATAAAGATAGTTAAATCATGCATTTTTGGGATCAAACATCTGCGTTAAACACCAAACCACAACTGTAGTTGTTTCAAGCCACCTTTTCCTTACATGCGGATTGGGAAAAATGTATTTGCGTTTTAATGTTCTGCTATCATAGATGGGTGTCACAATTCAACCATAAAGAAAAAAGCGAGTTTCAGTACGGAAGCGAGCAGCATTATTTTCCTGCGGATGACATCGTCTCAAACGTCAATAGCGATGACCCCGTGGTAATTGAATCACATTCGCACTTTTACAACTACGCAACTGTACAAGCCGTCAGCGTTTGGAAGTGTGAGTTTAGTCCGACTGTACGTGAGAGTTTCGGAGCCTGGAACCAAACCTTGTACTACTGGATGGATAGGTACATGTACCGTCGATGCTTTGGGCCCCGGTTCATCCGCTCAGTCGCTACCCTCGTCGTTAATTCTCTCTGGTACGGCGTTCAACCAATCTACTTCATCGCACATCTAACATTGCCCATAATCTCACTGGCGGAGGATGGAATGGCTACCACGATGGCTTTCTGTGGATTTTCACTGCCTCCTGGAGGTTTAGCCTTTCTCCGATGGTTCTTTCGAATGCGGTACTTTGAATATCTTGCCGCAGGGTGGATTATTATTTCTCTGGAAGACACACTTGTCCTCTGGTCTTCCTTGGGCTATTTCGTGCAAGTGATTGGTTTTCTACTAAGCCTAGCTCACCTCACATTGGGAAGATTTGTTTCTGCATTTGAGCGATGGACTGTGGAGAACCCCGGAGAAGATGTGGCCGAAATTACTGCGAGGAATCTCAGCCAGACAGGCAAGGCCTGGGAGCCCCCTGTTACCGATACGTATCTATAGTCTAGACTCAGTATTGTTGGCGCTTCCATTGGCACCACCATCGCCAATGCAGTAGGTCCTGACCTTGGTTGGCAAAGATTAATTCTATGTAAATGATTTTATCGGCTTGTCATAAGCATGCTTATGAGAAAATGTCGGATAATAAATCTCCATATGAGTTAGGTGATGTGGAATTCATATCTTAGAAAACTGAGAATTCATTAAAGTGATGAAGTATTGCATAAAGCGGAGTGCTTACAACTCATTGCCTTGGATGTTGATTGTACCAAGCATTGACATTCGTAAGAGACGCTAGATTTTAAAAAGGTTGATCCTTTTCTTTTTGACATTTGATTTTGTTAAGCGCAAGATTGTAAGTAGCTTGAAATGAAAAGAACTGTTTGAGAAGTAATGTTAATTGGTGGTCCGATTTACACACTAATGCACCGTTATTCCCCACTAAGTATGTGACCAAAACAGAGGCTGACGATTTAAAAAAGGCTATTTACTAAATGATGGCTTTGACTGTCGCATGGCTAGTGTGGCATGCTCATTGCCATTCGCACCGACAGACTTCACCGCACCGTGCGGGTAGGAAGTGCAATGACTCTGAGAAACAAGAAGAAGAGTCGTTTCAAACGTCATTCTGTACTAGATTTTAAGCCTTGGAGTGAGAGACAATCATTTTGACCAGGCTGTCGACACAGAAAAACAGATCTGACATGGCATACCATTATTTTAAGGTCATTTATTATCACACAAAAGCTGCGTAAATAAGAATGTTTAAATGGTGCGAAGGATTCTATGGAGCGCAGGCAAAAGTTTTCTGAATGTAGCATCAAGAACTTTCCTAAACGAATGCGATCAAGTCGGCATTCGAAAGTGGGATTCAATTTGCAGATAAGGAGAAGTGGGTAGCGGATTTGAAACATGGCAGCTCTGAGTTGATACTTTTTATGTTTTACCTGAAGATGGATTTTTTGTTTGATAAATGAAGTGAAGTGGCCTGAAAGCCTTGAATTTTGCCCACAGCAAAATTAATGTGGCTAGCAAAGTTGCCTTCATTGTCATCCAAAGCACGATTCATAAGTAAAAAACTGGGAAGGGATCGTGTCTTTCGACGACAATTCTGGACAAGTCCTTCGCAAAATGATATTAACAAAGATATATTTCCTGCTTGTTAAATATGTGGGAATGAAGGATGGCTTTCAACCCTCGCTCTTAGTAGGACTAATTATGTATGACAATTGTCATTTGGTAAGAGAGAAAGTGGGTGTCCAAACACACTATTTTTAAAATTGAAGCTTTCCTGCAAACAAATTTTAGCTATGCACTGTCCACCTCCACATAACACATAAGTGAATGCCAATTTTTTGAAAAAATTCCTTTAATCGTCTCAGTGGACGCTATGCGAAGGATAATGCACGTGCTGCCATCCCGGAGACAAGCAAGATCGTGCTGCCTCACGTGAGCTGAATGTCAGTGTTTTTGGTAGTTCGATGTTGGTGCAAAGTTTAGCATGGTTATGGGAACCCACCAATATGGAGAACAATATATTAATTTTTCGTTTTGGGAAAATTCCTTTGCAGCTCCTTTTAGGCACTTGGAGGTGTATGGAAAGCCTTTTCTATGGTGCAGAGGGGCGCTTGTTACCGTTCGGTAAACAAAGCAGAGGAATCTGCCTTGGTATTGTTCGCACAAGGTCCATTACATAGTTAAGGAATTGGTGATTTGCATGCAAGTGGGATTTGGTGTTTGTGTCCTACAAATGATGTTAATTTTATAGACCTATCTAAAAATGAAAAGCTGAGAAAAGCTGGCTCAAGTCTACATGACACCGAACGTCTAAAATTGTTGGCAAGTTAGTCAGGAATAATTGGATTTGTTCATTAAAAGTCCCACCCAAACTATTTACAGCAAAAAGGAAAAGACGAGGGGAAAAGTACTTGAAGAGGATGCAGTTGCGAAATTACCACATGTCAACACATATCATTTTTAGGCGGTGAGTTGGTCCTTTAAATAATCATTAGTAAAACAAAACGATCACATTGTTGCTGAATTACGAGTGATTGTTCAGAAAACCACCAGTTAAATGCGAAGCACTTCAGAATGATCCTTGTTTATGAGAAGATTTTGAAAGAACACTGGCATTTAACTATAATTTGGATTCGCCTCCTCATTAAAATTGGTCTACACCCGCGGTTTTAAAAAGAATTTCAACCTGGCAGTTAATGCTTACGAACGCATAAACGCCTGGTAAAAGTAAGGACCATTCATTGCGGAAAGTGATGAAGTGGAATTAGTCGAGAGTCCTTAGTGAAGCATTCTCTTAGTGACAATTTTCTGACAAAGTTCTAGCATCTAACTAATCGCAGTGGAAAAAATTTAACAAATTTCACATTTTTCACTGTCGTGTGCATGTCCACTAACCTCTTCTGCTATGCGACAACGTGGACTGCATGCAGTGACGTGCGTCCGTTCACTGCAAATGACACGGTTTAACGCGAAACATGTGGGGCGCATCCCCCTCGATCCACTGCCAACTGCTGACGCTGCTCCAACTGCCTTGCAGGCGAGGGTTGTTCATGTCGGATGATTGGAAGGTGTGACAAGCTGAAGCATTTCAAATACTTCTTTACATGCAGCCAAAAATTGGTGGTCAGCCATCAGGAATGCTGTGGCTAAGGCGGTCTCTCCACACTAATGCAGTCGCCAACCAAACGGTGAGTTTCAGCGCCTAATGCCGTGGTGAAATGGAGGCTTATTCAACACAAACAGGTTGCATCATTTAGTGGAATAAGTAGTGAGGAAACTACTCTTATTTACCAAACCCAGTAGTTTAGAGTTCATTTAAAAGCATTTATTTTATTAACCTGATGCGTTTTTGCATGCACAAAGAATACAGCTTTGACAAAATCCTGTGCTCGAAGCATATTAATGCACTCCAGAAAAAATGTTACCGCTAATATCACAGTGCCATTCTTTGCGATCACAGCATCCTGTAAAAACTAGCAGCTCTTCAGTAACGTCTTATGTGGCTGCACCAGAAACGTTAGAACGAAGGATTATAAGTTAGAGGAAGTTCTGAGTGTCATTGTGTCACAAGGCACTTTAAATCCATGGGCATTGTCAACAAATAGGTGGTGAATGACCGACTCTGTGGGTTATCATTTGCATAGCTTTGCAAAGGCTTCTGTGCATAATCTCGCACAAGTGTTAGGAACAAGGACGTTATCCCAACCTTGAAAGGCCTTTTTGAAAACTTCTTCGTTCATGAAATAATGCATTCCATTTACAAAATATGCGGGTTGATTTTGGAGGTACGTTGTCGTTCCTTCGTCCTTGTTGATGGCAAAATGAACTCAGAAAATGTATTACAAGTACTATGCAAGCACATGATAAAACAACACAGCAATCGGGCGCTGACATACTGCTTCAGTACCCGATGCTGAGCCCAGCAACATCGGACAAAGTTTTGAAAAGAAAGGAGGAGCGCACTTACAGGCCATACATACATGCATTTCTTTGGACGAAATTCCCTACGTCATTTGCGCGGTGCAGTACTGAAACCCATTAGAGGTGCCCATGGGTTGGTGGTGTGGGCTAAGGAAAAGTGGAAAATGGGCGTTTCAGCTATTTGAGCTAAAAATACTTACGCGAAATGTTCGCCATTATCTGGGCTAATGGTTTACCTTTTCTGATGCTGTTCTTGTAAAGTGTCAAGGTGGAATCACTAGACACTGCAAAGTTAAAAGCTTAACCTTAGAAAGTAAAGTTTGAACCAACGAATGCGGGCGTAAGTCTTCACACTTATGAAATGTAACATTCTCTTCTTAGCTATTAAGCTC